GAATTTGAAGTTGTCACTATGAATTGCCGTGTTGCCAATGCCAATTTCATTAATTCCCCAAAAATTAAGGTGAAATATTTTTTTACGTCTGCTTTCTTATCGTAACTGACATAATGGATATTATTATCAGCGAAACAAGATCTACAATCCCCGTTTAATCGGTTATTTAACTGCTGGTACCGACTCCAAAAATAACTGATTAGATATTTAAGTATCAATAACTTTTTTGGTGGTAAAATAAAACTTCAAACCGATCACTAGGTAGCACGTACTAATATAATGATGTTTTATTAAAATTATAGGTTAGTTTGGACAAGGATTGTCACGTTGTAATTTTTTTTATGAGACAAAGTGACGGGATGGACAAGTCGTGTGCCTGGTGGTGAGCGACACGTCTGTCTATAAAAGTCGCAGTGCCACTCAGAGCTTTAAAGCGCAAAGATTTGAGGGGAACTTCTACTGCGCCCGACACCCTGAGACATAAGTTGACAAGCCCCATGTGCTTATAATTTCACCAGCACCCTTGACCTTCGAAACCGGAACGCAATAATGCTTACGTTAGTCCTTAACGGTTGAAATAGGACGAACTCTTTCACAAGGAGCTCTACTGCTACTAAATTTACTACTAAATTGTATAAATAAACCATAAATGTAGAGAGATTGATTAATAAGTAATTATAATACTGTATACAAAACGAAATAAGCCAAAATAAACAAAAAGTATTGTTTGTCATTTGGATTAAATCTGTATTTTGTTATTTTTCGCTTTTTAGTGTAGTGGCTTCTCGAGGGTTTTGAATTTTTTGAATTTTTTTTTATTAATGGCTTATTTACTTTCAGTTTCATTTTTAATTAAAAACTAGTATAATTGACATTTTTTAGGTGAGAAAACTTTAGCTGTAAATATTCTCGAAAATTACCAAAATGCCAATGCGTTAGTTATGACAACGAGGGCGGAATATTTTCATTGCCAATGTGTAGAAATCGCAAAAAACTAATTATAGCATAGGTTTACGAAATAATTTTGAGTTCGCTGCAAAGAGGAATCAAAAGTAGCTCTCAGAGAGAAGTAAAGAACGAAAACTGTAAGTATCGATGCGAAGCTGACAAACTAACATTGTCTGGATCTGTTCCAAGAGGAAGCGGATGGCGCTTGGCGCATTGCTTCCTTCCGATGGCTTGTTTTAAAATGACTTATTTGATCTTTCACTCGTTATGAGCTTTCGTTTGGGAAATAGGAAATACAACGGCAATATCAACTTACTCCGACTTTGTGTGAAGGTTACTTGGTCTTATAAGAGCCGTTTTTTTTTGTGCTATGATATCAAGTGATGGTAGTAAGCGACACGCCTGTCCATGACAGTTGCAGTGTCACACGGAGCTTTAAATCACAAAGATCTAAGGGACACTGTCATTGCGCCCGTCACTCTATACCAGCGCACACACTCATAGATGCACCAAGGAAATAACATCCAAACTCACGAGAGAAATAAATGTAGCCCATACAAATATAACTTGCGACCTATTCGTGGCAATCCAGCATGGTAAACGTTCGACCACGGAGGCAGCTAACTGTGGATCATAAAGTCCCATGTACCTGTAATGTCACTAGCATTTTTACCCTTCAAAACCGGAACGCTGCTTTGCTCACATTACTGCTTGGCGGCTGAAATAGGTGAGGTGGCAGTCGACGAACTCTTTCTCAAAAGCTACTCTACTGCAACTGGCTGTTTGTTCTCCACAGTCGTCTTCACAAAGTCATAATTTAATTTAAAGGACATTGTATATATACGCTTCTGCGTACTTCAATAACGAAAAACCTTTGTAGTCGCTAATTTAGCTCTACTATGATTTTGAATTAAATATATTAAAGATGATAAATGTGCACAAATGTTTATTTACAAAGAGCAATCCCTAGAGTTTCTTGCTGATTTTTCTCAGGGGAATCTGCCTTACGAATGAGCTGTAGAGTTTAATCAATATAACAATTTCAAGTGTAACTTTGAAATAAAGATTATTTGTGTTTGAGTTACAATAGGTACTGCAGAGATCGTATATTTAACCGACTTCTAAAAAAGGAGGAGGTTTTCAATTCCGCAGTTGTTCTTTTTGTAGGTATGTTACGCGGTAACAACATTTGTGAACCGATTTTGATGATTCTTTTCTTGTTAAGAAGAACCCTCTTCCTAACAAAAAAAGAATCCTAAAAAAACCTTAAGAGTGGTCTAATTTAAATTTAAAAAAGTATTCCACCTCTAAGGGTATCTAAATTGGGGATAAATGACTTTTGAGGTCGATTTTCTATAGTACTCCGTACATCTGCTTGCGCTGTTTGTTTTTATATATGATGTGTAATATTTTGAATAGTACTGACCAATTCTTATCGAACCTCATTAGTTTGTTGCATAAATCGTAATCAATTTTTGACCTTAATTCTCCGAATACAAGTTTCTTCACCATCGGTAAATACCCACAACAAATGAAATATGCTCTCTGTTGTTGAGTTCCATATTCCACAGTAGAGAGCTTATTTAACAATGAATGTTAATTAGGTCGCAAATGTTACATATTTTAATTGAACATTATATATTTTTTGTATTTATTTATTAATTTTAAATTTTGAATAATAAATATGTTACTATTTGGACTGCAATATCTGTGGTCGCTCGTACAAGTGTTTGAACAGTAGGAGCACACCGCAGTCATATTGGGTGAGACCTATAATGCAACTAAATCTGAACGGAATAATAAGAAGAACCCACAGAATAGGTAAGCAACTGAAATAACATTGAATGAATGAATGAAAGGAGAAAATATTTGTTTAGAACTGAGCGCTTTCCCGAGAATCAATAAGGCCTGTCTGTGCAAATATATTAGACTCAGAGATGAGATGCTTGTTTGCTTTCGTCGTCTTGTATAACGAAATTACTTATAGTTGGAACTTATAGAGATTAAATGAGTGCCCGCTGCCATCGACTGCATATGTTTTTTTTCCTTATTTGTTCAAGGGGCGATATCATATAATGCTACAAGTAGTGTAATCGCGATTGTTTCGCGACTAAATGCCTACAAGTCTATTGCAACGTATGGTTGTCAAACGATTGTTTTATTTGTACCTATAGGTTGTAAATATAACCACAATATTCTCGTGTTATATTGATATAACCTTTGTCAAAATTGGCAATCGACATAAGGTACTCGCTGATTGATGCCCATGGTGCGCCAGACGTGCGGGAATTAAATAGTTCCGAGAGGCATCTTTCGAGCAACCTGTACCATGAAATAGAAATTAAATGCGAGTTACAAGTAATGAAAAAAAAAATTGCATAATATTGTAGACACCCCGTTAATTGGTCAATCTTTCTTTGTTTTGTTTATAATAATAATCCATATATTTCAGACGCGTTCATCCATAATATTTGTTAGTAAAGAAAAATAGTGTTAAGTTTAAAATAATAAAATAAATAGGAAATGAAACTATTTTTCCGGATTTAAATCGCGTATATTTGTGTTTTCAAACAAACCGACGTTTCGGGCCCTTTACAGGTCCCATGGTCACGGTTGACTGACCCGAAAAATAGTTTCATTTTCTATGTGTAACAATAAAACTCGATAATAAAATAAAACAAAATTATAGGTATTAAGACGGGAACATAACACGCCCAGCCAATGTCAGGACAACTGGCTAGGCATTGGCAGCAGTGCTAGCGCATCCACCGCCCCGTCATTGGGGACTCTCATCTTTCCACCAATGTGCTAGGATGCTGTTCGTATTGGGACGTATGCGACGGAGTGGCGATGATAGCGTAGAAATCGTCTATATGTTTCACAGTAAACATGTTTAACTTTATTAATATAATATATTTTTTCATTACTTACACATTTTTAACCGACTTCAAAAAGGAGAAGGTTCGTTACGCTATAACTTTGTGAACCGATTTTGATGATTCTTTTTTTGTTGGAAAGAGGGTACCTCAGTAGTTGTCCTATATATTTTTGAAGAAAATATTTCACCTCTAAGGATGGTAAACTAGAGGATGAGTCTGACACTTTCCGGTAACCGATGTCAATAAAACTTGGCAAATAGATGTAATTCCATGACTTCTCAGGCCGGTTTTTTAGTACTCTCTGAGAGTATTTATTTCATAATTGTAAAAGACTGTTTGTTCCTTAATAAAAAGAAAAAAAACTTAACATACAAAAATATTTTACGAGCTTATGCGTCCGTCTTATTATACTTTGATATCAAAGTCCGTGTGCAGCCTGTAAGGGATTGGAGAAGATGCTGTTGTATATGTCTACCGCACACGGTATCAAGTCTATCTATCGTTTCAAAATATTACTCTCAACGCTCTTCACTACTATGGCACATGTTTCAGTTTGGTGAAGAAAACTTTGCCATCAAATATCCAAACTTGTTTAAAGGTGTACTGAGCCAAGTCTCAACGCCGTAACTAATTCACGCCTGCCCGGAACTGAATAAACCTGCAATTTGCGATAATTGAAATTTACTATCTATTAGATTTGGGTGTTTAATAATCGATACAACAACAGATTATCTATTTAATATAATTTCAAAGGGATATAATTAATAAATGGGATAACAAAGGGCACAATTTCATTGTGTACCTATAATAGACCTTCAATGTAACAAATATTGGGTACAAATGATTAGTTAATACCTATAGTGGATTATTGGTATAAAAACTACATATATATTTGAATAGCAGTACATATAATAGTAGTACATATATATGTGAGTAGTACTGCGTTTCGGTATTGAACGGTGCTGGTGAAATACAGACATATGAGACTTGCTAACTTATGTCCGAGGGTGACGGGCGCAGTGGCAGTGCCCCTCAGATCTTTGCTACTTAAAGTTATGAGTGGCACTGCAACTGTTATGGAAAGACGTGTCGCTTAACATCAGGCGCACGACTTGTTCGTTCCGTCACTTGGTAAAGAACTCATAGTGATGTTCACAATTGTTTCTTTCACAGGGTAGACTTTCGCAACGGTCCACCAGTCCACTGGGCAGTGGCAGGAGAGTTCGGCACTCGCACTAACTTCGTCCTGAACGAGTCTGATCCTTCCTCAGCTCACCTCACCGTGAAGAAAGCGTCGCATCACGACGAAGGCGTCTATAGATGTCGCATCGACTATGTTGACTCGCCGACAAGGAACTACCGTGTCAATTTGACTGTCATTGGTAAGTTTTATGTTGTCTTTTGATACTTTAATGGTACAGGTCTTACTTATGGAAACATTAGTTCAAAACTCGGTTTGGCGTAACAAAAGGCATTAATGTTCCTTTAAGTGCTTTATTTACTAAATAACTATGAAATAGACCAAATACTTCGCTACAATTTCTAGTGAATGTATAGGGTGCCCACGTTTACAATAAGATGTAACATGACACTATCATTCCAGTTACACAAACATAAATACGTCCAAATATATACACACGAATGTACCCAATCAAATTAAATAAATAAAAAGATATTTATTTATCCACAAAACACATAAACAAATATAAGCGAATAATGAAAGCAAGAGAACAGTAATGTGAATAAAAAGATGAAGACTCTGCGTCGCCTATTTTCAGGCTTCACCTATAGCTATTTGCTTGCTGCGTCAGACCGGCAATTAATAGAGGCTGTCTGCACTATATGTAAAATGATATATATATCGCTATAACAGCCTACTAGATCTGACTAATGATGCCAGGCGCTCACTACGAGGAAAAAGGAACCTACCCACGCGCTCAGAGAGGTGAAAATAACGTTGTCCGCCGTGTGCAGTTCGTGCGGAACCGAATGCTCACCGGTAGGCACTTATCGTGTAAACTTGAGCGAGTGACGGATCCCTGGCGCTGTTAAATGTTGAAAGTTGGCTCTTAACACAGGATGTATCTTACTAGGGAGTTAGGGACTTCATTGTTATAACTATTTTGTAAGAATACATATTAGTGTACTAAACGCGATGAATAAATAATAGATGGTAAAAGAAACCTTGACAATTTTAATGAGAATTCCAAAAAGTAAAAATTCAATAAATGAAATTTATTTATGTATAAAAACACCATGTAAACTTACAGTAATCACCAAAATGCTTACATGCTAATTATTTTTACTACGTACATATTTGATACGCTAGGTTAGCTTTACTAATTAGTTTGCTAATGCTATCGTAACAGATGTTAGTTAGCATCCTGGAACTTAGCGACCAGACAATCTAACATGAGACTACGTTTCGTGACCGCGTTGTCAGATTCATTTATTTCCTTGCAAAAGTTCACTTTTACTTTCCATTGTTATAGTTCCTCCAGAGTCTGTCCGGGTGTACAACTCACAAGGAGATGAGATTCTGGGCTCCAGTGCTGGGTATTTTAGAGAGGGGCAAGATTTACTTCTTTCCTGCCAGGCTGTGGGTGGTAAGTTATGTTATGAGATGAATGCTAAAACCCTAGTAATTGTCCAAATATGTCAATTCCAGATCAGTGTTTTCTATAATTTTAATTTGTCTACCGCAGGGAGACCTCCACCAGATGTATCTTGGTACAGAGGCGAAGAACGCCTATCATTGACCAAAGAAGGCTCAGTGAGTCAACTGCACATACCCTCGTTGTCAAGAGAGATGGCCGGCACAAGGTTGCAGTGCCGAGTAGACCCACCTCTCATGCAGCCTATGTTTAGAGATGTCACTTTAAAGTTATATTGTAAGTATTTATTTTGCTCGTCCGACTGTATTAAGCCAAGGTTATGTTTTATGGGTCATTATGTGGTTCTTTAGGACCTATAGAGCTCAATGGATTTTATTGAATGAGCTTGATTCTATTAGCTCGGAGTCGAAGATACTTCGGTTTAGTTTACGGAAAGACGTTGGTTCTACCGTCTGTATAACGTGGAATGGTCTAAGAAGCCTTTGGAACTGGTGCTACCGGTAGACTCCCACCACAGCACGTCTCACCAAAGGAGTGGAGCCAATTGGTGGAGACCACATTGGCGTCGTGTTCGTTTCAGGTTTGAGACCTGCAAGGTGTCGGGTTTCCTTAAAAGGCGAGAAAACAGGGCAATCAAAGGCTGGCCACGCATAGGCAGCTCCTGATGTTGCAAATGTTCACGGGTGACGATGACGAAATAAGAAGCAATTGTATATTCCAAATGGAATACTATAGTTGTACATCATCGCCACGCCGGCTCAATGCGGGTTGGAAACTTGACCCGTATTTACTGGTATCGTGCTGGTTTCATAGCGATTTCTTTTTTCAGTCTAGTTGCGTTTGTTTGTCAATCGTTTAGTAAAGCTATGACGCAGGTTGGTTTTTAATTTAATTTTATGTTCCTAGTAAAACCGCAGTTCGTTAAAGTGCGTGGCAGTGGGGTGACGCGTGTGGGACAGGACAGAGCGTTTGAGTGTACTACGCGTGGCTCCAAGCCCGCGCCAAACATAGACTGGTTCATCAACTCGCAGTTGGTGGACTCGACGTTGACTTCGGTAAGTATTTTGATCTCATTTAACAACTGACGTTCCCAATTATTTAACTGCTTCAGCTTGGTACGATAATATTACCGCTAGTGGTGTAAAACGCGTAAGTTTATTTGTACTACAAGAAAACCTCTTGGAGTATGGATGTTTTTAGTGATGAACTCCAGATCCATATCCTTTGTGGCAGTCAGAATGTGCCGAGAAAAGCGCGTTCTGCAGCTGATTGGGTAATTTCATGTGTCGAAAGGAGGGGTTAATGCTATAGAAATTAGAGCTTTGCGAATTATGTGTGGTTTTACTCTTAACAACAGAATGTGGAATAATGTAGTAAGAGAGCGTTGATGTGTGAAAGGTGATGTAGTAAAATACTTTGATGGTTTGGTCATGTAGAAAGATGAAATGTCAGTAGACTGACGATACAAATTTAATAAAAAATACAGGTAAGGACCTCAATACCTCAAAAAAAGCAGGTTAAAGATGTAAGAATTAACGAGTATATGTAGTGGTTGATATCAATGGAGAGACGAGAGAACTTTCTTAGGAACATAGCGAGTGAAGGTTTATGATCTCTACCTACTAGTTGAAGACGGGCATAATGTGATTTGTATGTGTGTGCGAGTTGTGTGTGAACTCCAGAATTTGAATGATTTTTTAGGTCGAAAAATTAAGTAAACATATGGAGAGAACAACCGTTAACTTTTCCAGGTCGATGTGGAAGGCGAAGTAACAAAAAGCGCCTTAACCTGGCACGTGAGAAGAGAAGATAGTGGGAGACAGCTGGTGTGCAGAGTGTCCAATCCTTGGTTCCCGGCTTATACTCTGGAAGATTCCATTATTCTTGATGTTATGTGTGAGTGTCGTTTTTCTTCTCGTTTTCTATATAATAAGCATAAATGCTTACATTTCCCAACAATATTTATAATAATAATTTTTCTCTAATGAATACAGAAAATTACTCAATATTATCATCATCAATATATCTCTCTTATATTCCATTGTACAAGTCTCCTTTGAGGACAGGGTATTAGGTCACTACGCTGGCCGAATGCGGTTTCATCTCAATGTTTTCCTCCACCTTTAGCAAGAGCTATTGTTGTAACCGTTATCCTACTGGATTACCCCCGCTCCTTTTTTTACTTCTATATCATGACAATTAAAATTTTTGAAACCCTTCCTCACCTCCTCAAGCTCCTGATCCCCAAGTGATGGCAGTAAAATAAATATCTTTTAAAACGTAGGTACCTCTGTCTCGAGAGGCAGCGGAAGTGGCTTACCAACTTGTTTGTCCCCGCGTGTAACTCATCACACAGGGCCGGCATTGGGAGTTTCAGTCGGAGGGTTTGACAGTAATAATGTATACATATTAATCGAACTTCATCTAATGTGGATGACTTTACCAATCAGCTGTGACCTTTAAAGAACTCAAAATGCTATGTTTGATAATAAATACATGTAATATCTAGTAGATCCGGAAAATAATACTATTTTTTATTATAGATTTATTAGGCATGCACCACAATACCAAACATACCACCCAAAGGCTTATACACCAGGGTTGTCAAAACGGCTATAAAAAAAAATTATGATGCATTAAGTGTATCTTACTTATATAGACGAAACTATGGGAATACACTGATATCTCGATATAAAATGCTAGCAGCTCTATCTAACAGCGTTCGTACTAAACTCCACATATTCACTCGATTAAAATGTCTATTACATTGAACATTAGGAATGTTCTCGGCATCTCGGCAAAAATATTACAAGGGGGATCTATCCGTTGATCCCTAAGTCCACCCTCCTATTGGAGTTAAAATATTATCACTCGAGAGCGGGCCGTTTATTGCTCTCCTCAGAGCATAGTACTTCAGTCATTTAACTTGCTCAACTTGTTACGCCTTACTCGTCACGACGCCCGTTAATAAATCCCGTCTAACTTTCTTGGTCTGTTTATTTCTTTACATTTTGGTCTTATTGTATCAACCGGAACGTTTTAAAATAATAATGAGCCAGATAACCACACGTAAGTTACCTGGTTTCAAACTAGGGAATTACATACTCACTCTGGTGTGTTACGCAGAATAGCCAGGTCAAAATCAATATAGTAAAGATAATCCCAAATTGGTCCTACTGAAAGCTCCTCATCCAGAGTGCAAACCGTTGGGAAACCAAGGTCGTGGCAGAAATACATGATCATTATAAATGGTTGCTTTATAAAAATTATCTGTTGATTTACGATACAGTTTAATAATATTTTTCAATTGTAAAATCTGAGGTTTGAATGAAGATAACATAGTTTAAGAAAAAAGAATGCTTGAGATAAATATTAAATTAAATTTATATTAAATTTATATTAAAACATATTAAAACACATATTAAATTTATATTATCTAACATACGGCGATGGGGAAAAAAAATACAAATATATTTTATCGTTATTGCAATGGATTCCAAAAGTAAACAATTAATAGGGTATTATCAGAATGTCAGGGGTTTGCGTACAAAATCTCATGATTTTCTCTTGGGGGTGGCTGCGTCTGACTATGATTTCATATGTATCACTGAGAGTTGGTTAACGTCCGATTTTTACGATAGGGAATATTTCGATGGTCGGTATGTTGTGTTCCGCTGTGACCGTTCGCAGGAAGATACCGGCGCGCAGCGCGGTGGTGGGGTCATGATTGCGGTGCGTACTGAGTTAAAGCCGTTGCGTCGGGAATGGCCTATTCCGCCTCGCGCTTCGTCCGATTGTGTGTGGCTATCCATACCGCTGCTTGTAAAAGGTGACAAGTACCTACATATTGCCTGTGTTTATATACCTCACGGGCCAGGATATCGTGATGCATTAGAAGTATTTTTTGATGTAACTAGTGAAATAATTAACGATAATCCAAATGACATATTTTTGATAACAGGTGATTTCAATGTTTCGAATGCGGTTTGGCAGAAATCTTACACACTCGACCAGACATTGGTTAAGGGCGGGGATTTCGCAGTTGGTATATTAGGTGACTTCCTATCGTTCACCGGTCTGCGTCAATTTAACGGTATTCCAAATATTAATCATCGAATTTTAGACTTGGTAATGAGCAACATTGACTGCAAGACACTTCATTGTGTTAATACATTAACTGAGGAAGACGCGCATCATAAGTCTATTGAATTACGTATAAACATTAATCAATACAGTACACTAAAATCTGCACCTGCTTATAATTACAATTTTTGCAAAGCCGACTTCGAGTCAATTAATGGAGAGTTATTTAATATCAACTGGCATGCACTGTTTGAAAAATTGACCATAGAAGAATGTGTTTCAAAGTTTTACTTCATTCTTAATAGTCTTGTAAGAAGATTTGTTCCTCGTAAATTAATTCGCTCATCTCAATCCCATCCTCTATGGCACACCAAACCATTGAGAAAGTTACTTAGTGAAAAGCGTAAATTTCATAAACTTTGGAAACTATACAATAACCCATTGGACTATGAAAGCTTTAAGGTACTGAGAAAAAGAGCTAAGTGTATGGAAATTGAGTGTTATCGTAACTATATAGTGTATGCCGAAAATAAAATTAAAAATTTCCCCAAATATTTTTGGACTTATGTTAAAACCATTAAAGCTAACAGTGGATTGCGGGGCCAAATGTCATTTGATGGACACAAGACTAGCGACTGCAGTCGAATCTGTGAGCTTTTTAACAACTATTTTCACTCTGTTTTTGCCCAACCAAAGTCGCATCACGTGCCAACTGAGACATTAGAACATTCTAATAATTCGATTGTGAACATAAGTTCTATTGAAATAACTGAAGTCTTAGTAAGAAAATATTTGAAAACCATTAACGTCAATAAAAGTGCAGGCCCGGATGGAATACACCCGCTATTAATTCGGCATTGTGCCGATAGTTTAACAACACCCGTTACTTTTATTTTCAACTTGTCATTTGGTAGTGGCTGCGTTCCTGAAATTTGGAAAAGGGCATTTGTAACACCTATACCAAAGGGTCCTGTTAGTCAAAATATTGAAAACTATCGACCCATCTCGAAACTATGTCATTTGGGTAAAATTCAAGAGAAAATTGTCACTGATCAGTTGCTTAGTGTAGTACAACGTGCTATCACCCAAAATCAGCATGGTTTTTGCAGGCAACGTGGTGTCAATAGCAACTTGCTGACTTTTACCGAACTTATTCTGGAAGCAATGGACAGTGGTTTTCAAGTGGATGTCGTGTATACCGATTTCGCCAAGGCTTTTGATAAAATTTGTCACAACACGCTCTTGTTGAAACTGTGGCGGCTCGGTATACATGGGGACCTATTCCGTTGGATAAAGTCGTACATCGGGAATCGTAGTCAGGCTGTCGTCTTGTCTGGGCAATGTTCGGAATACAAGATTATACCTTCAGGTGTGCCGCAAGGTTCCCATTTGGGGCCATTGTTATTCGTGTTGTACGTAAATGACATTACAGAGTCTATAGAACATTCACGTGTTCTCCTATATGCTGATGACACTAAAATATTTAGGATTATTCGTAATGAAGAAGATGTTCATTTGTTGCAACAAGATATTAGATCTTTCGAAGGCTACTGTGCGCAAAATAATTTATTTTTAAATCCTGATAAATGTTTTTCAATTACCTATACGAGAAAGAAAAATCCAAAAGTGCATACATATACCTTATGTGGAAAAAATCTTAATAGAGTAATGGAGATCAGAGACCTTGGTGTTATCATGGACTCAAAACTAACGTTTATCCCACACATTAATAAAATAGTTTCTAGGTCTTTCAAACTATTAGGGTTTATATTACGGATTGGAAAACCATTTAAGAACCCATTTACATATAAGCTGCTTTATAATAGTTACGTACGCAGCAGGCTCGAATTTGCAAGCTCTGTATGGAATCCGTACCAAAATGTACACCAAAATAAAATAGAAAGGATACAGCATAAATTCATAAAAGCTCTGGACTATAGGATGCATCATGATCACGTACACTACGAGTCATCCCTTAGGGTGTACAATATCGTTCCATTGCAGCAACGCCGTTCTCTAATTGACCTGACGTATCTATACAAAATTTTGCATAACATTGTAGACTCCCCCCTCTTGTTGGAAGATATATTATTTCGCGTGCCGCGAAATAACGAAAGAGCCAGTCGTAAAAAGGATCTTTTTGTTGTTAAGTTTAGTAAAACATGTTACGGTAGCAATAGTTTTATAAAAACGACTTGTTCTTTATACAATGCAAAATGTAGTGAAACTGACATATTTGACACTTCTTTGCGGGAGTTTAAAATCCACATTATAGTCGTCACAAAATAATAGATCATATTTGACAGCTAAACCAGTCGATAGTATGTAACTTTGAATGCAATCAACGAAACAGTAAATAAGCAATTAATAACTTATTGGGTTTTAAAAAAATACATAAATTTTATTGAAGGTCTATACGTTATGAAAGAAACATATTTCAAGTATTATTTTCGCAGGAATTCCAAAATAAAATCCAATTTTGAGTTACTCCGAAACGTCTTATAAACAGTTACATCTTCAGTCTAATTCTTTTTAATAATAGTGTTGTAACCAATAAGCGCCGACTATCATCGAGTCAAATCGGTTTCACTTTAAAAAAAATGACTTATTTAATTACTAAAGTCGTCACAAAATAATAGATCATATTTGACAGCTAAACCAGTCGATAGTATGTAACGTTGAATGCAATCAACGAAACAGTAAATAAGCAATTAATAACTTATTGGGTTTTAAAAAAATACATAAATTTTATTGAAGGTCTATACATTATGAAAGAAACATATTTCAAGTATTATTTTCGCAGGAATTCCAAA